TTCAGCCTTTCCCAGCAATCTGTCTTGTACTTCTCCCAAGACTCTTCCCTGAGCCCAGTTCCAGGGCTCTTCCTAGCCCTAGCCCCTCCAGTTCATTTTCTGCTCTCTACAAGTCTCTCTCACTGACTTAGCTACTGTCTTGCCTTAAATACTGGAATTCTATCACATACTTCAGGGATCAATCAGGTCTAGCTATGACAAGGAAGCCAACTTATCTGGTGACAAACTAGGACCCTACAAAAGAAAAGGCACGTGCAAATGAGAGTCTTTATTTACTACTCCCCAACCCCGACCCCTTGCACTCACTCACCTTAACATCCTTCCTTTAGTTAGTATCCACTAGTTAGTAACAGAGCCAGGATTTAGGATCTTTTTTGACAAATGCTCTCCTAAATATATTGGTCTCATTTATGATGGAAAAAAAAATAGAAATTCACTATCCACACTTATCCAAGATGGCATATATTCAATTCTATGCTATGCTATGCTAATTCATGTATCCTGCCCATCTTATTGGTATCTGAGTACCTTCCACCAGCACATTAAATGATGAGATTGGAATCAGTCACATTTGACTCTGTCATTATACAGAAATTAATTTAAATATTCAGTTTAAGCAAACAACAAATTCATGCAACTGAAAAATTACAGACTGCTGAAAAACAGGAGCACCTGAATTATCTGCCTACCTACTGTGTTTATACCGGAAGACATCCCTGTAAGCATCTGAGCTGAAGCAATCACTCAAATTGAAAATACACCTGCTAAAAGAGTCAGCTTGTCAGAAAAACACCAGCAGTACCCCCTACTCATGGAGTCCATCTTTATCTTATCAGTGTAATATGGGATGAAAAACTATGGAAAGAAACTAAATGAGTGTGAAACTAAATTTACAAGCGTGAACTTTTTGCATCAAGTTCTTATCTTCCGATTAGTTCATTTGTCAAAATCCTGATAGAAGCATTTCTCAGGCAGTTTACTGTGGCTTTAAAAGAGCTCCACTGTGCTGATTTTGGCATGTCTTGCCCCTTGGATTGTGCTGCAGTTGCGTGCTCACTAAGGAGTGAAGTTGGGAAAACATAGGCGCTCCCTTACATTATATGAAGCTCTATTAATTTGGGATCATGCTCTCTGTTGGCAGCCAAAGGGATAAAAAGACAGAGAGAGAACGAAAAGGGAAAAAACCCAACAAATAACTTTCACTCTTCCAAGTGGGCATGCCTTTTTATTCCAGTTCCCACTGTCAATCATTCCTACAGCTCCTTGCAGCTCCTAGCTAGTAAAGAGTCAACGTCACACTTATAACAAAACATAGGCCATCCGTCACTTGAGCTTTCTACCAGCAAACACACTGACAGGGATAACTCCCAAGGATCTTGTTTCCTAACAGTTCTTAGGTTGTTAATGTATTTCCAGAGGAGAACTGGGGTATTTCTGATTATGACAGAAGCAAGAATCAACTCTTAGTTAGAGTTGATCTTTTTTTTGCAGTGTTTTCTGCACAGAGTTTTTGCACAGAGTCAGTAATCTAACAGGATTAAAGCCTGCCCTACCCTAACCTGGTTAAATTAACTCCTTAGTTAACTCTCTAGATGCCTCTGGGAGTTTTCTTTAAAACTAATCATAAGCTAAAGTACTTCCGCTGGTACCTACGTCACTAATGTTGGGTGTGTGTGAGGTGATGATTGTGCTTGTGATGTGGGTTTGGGGGAGGTCCCGTGCAGCACAGAAGTGGACTGACTGGGTGGTGAGTATGAGTGTGTCTGTGCGTTGTGTCCCACAATACAGAATCTGGAAACAGATTCACAGAACTTCAGGGCTGGAAGGGACCTCGTAGATCATCGGGTCCAGCCCCCCTGCTCTGGGTAGGAAAGACGGCTGGGGTCAAATAACCCCAGCAAAGTGCACGTCCAGTGTCCTTTTGAAGATCTTCAGGGTAGGTGGCTGCACCAGCCCTGCTGGGAGACCTGAAAGGATAGCCAGGTGCCTTGCCTGCCTCGCCGCATTCAATGCCAGACTTCTGAATAGACCATGTTAGTGGGGCAAACTGCTATTTTCCCAAAAGATTTGCTTCATAAAATGACTAAACTAAAATCACTGAGGTCAAACAAGAGTATAACCTCACTGGAAACCAGTGTGTAAACTGGCAGATCCTTGTACCCAGAGTTCCCCCACCATTAGACATGGGGATGGCCCAAAGCAGTGACCAAACCATTTAATAGTGCTGTAAAATTAGGCATTTATGAAAACAAAGTGAGTGCTGCAGCAGAGGGTGATGTAAGGAAATTTGGCTTCAGAGCAGCACAGAAACTCCTTGAGCCTGAAATAGCAGAACAGCTTCTTTATCTCAGGGTTCCCTTAGAGAAGCTATAGCAACCTGGACTCTACCTGTGGTTTATAATGACCTAATTAAATGGACATCCATTCTGCCATACAGCTATGTCATTGATCCTTTGTGGCTTGCAAACTCAGAAATGATTATCTGAATATGGTCAGGGGTATGTTGTGTAGCAGGGCAGGGCAGGAGACAAGGGCTGAAGACAGGGTAGGGGCATTGGAAAAAATGAAAAGTTTACCTGAAGTCAAATTCTTCCCTCTTTTATATCTATGCTCCATTGGCTTTCCATGATACAACATATCAGTGGCAAAGCCAGGGACAGAATCTAGAGAACAAGTTCACCATTTACACCAGGGATGAATGTGGCCCCATCTCCAGCCCCATTTTAACAACCATCAGGTTTTTTTTTAAATTTCAGTGGGGTCGAACAGGCATAAACTCCAAGTATGAGTCCTCGATCTGTCACATCCAACACAAGTAAAAATGAAAAAAACAGGTTTCTGGCAGCCAGAACCTCTGATTTCCTCATTCAGGCAAGTGTAATCTCTCCCTAAGCTTGTTGCAGATCTGGGAGACTGTAGTGCGTGGAGGATACTCCAAGTACGTTCCTCCTTGGATCTATTCCAGGTGTTTACACACAGAGCCAAATCTGGCTCCTCTTCAACTGGGGAAGGGGGAGTTTAGAAAAAACAAAATCGCTAAGTCCTCTGGAGTAAAGCTGCAAGCTTTATGGTGCTGAACTGGGGCAGTTCTGTTCTAGCGGAATGTTATTTCCGTGAATAAAACGGGTCAAGTGTTTTATACAAGCAATAACCTAACCCCCCCATCCAATTAAAGTGTTTTACTACTAACAATCTTTGTGCGTGTGTATCTAGCTTCCTAGATTTCTCATTCTGTGAATTAGAGAGACTTGTAAACTAGACTCGTATCGTGCTTCTGTAGCTGAATTAATTTATTATATAAAACAGTATTTACACACACATGCACACACACACAGCTCTTTCCCGCTGATGTTAAAACTACAGTCTGTCTTCTCCCCACTTGAAAGGGAAGCAACTTGAGCCTTTGCTCTGTAAATCAAGATTTGGAAGGGGGGGGGGAGGGAGGAAAATCATCATCGTCGTCATCATCATCACGATCTTTTTCTTGTATAAGATCATTCATCTCTGCTTACTACAAGGCAGAAGGGAAAACAAGCTATTCCCAGTGTTTCCCAGACAGATACACACGCCGCTGATTCACCTCCTTAAAAGTGAACACAGCAGATGGGCTTGGGGAAAAGTTAAAGTGATTTGCTGCTGAGCCCATTTTGGTTTTGTTTCTTCCCCTTTCTTGAATGACCACAGCCTCATAGGTCAAGTATAGGGCAGTCAAGATAAAGAAAATAAAAGAACAGAATGTGGCAGAGGAGGAGGAAAAAGCAGCCCTAAAGGCTGATCGGTGACTATATTAAGAATAAAAGCATCCGCTAGGCTCCTGTAGGAAATGACTCTTGTTAAAGGGACGGGGGAAATCCTCACTGTTTCTTTAAGGCATCCTAGGACATGGAAACTTTGCACTTTCAGGGAATCTACTTGCCAAAATAACTGTAAAACATACCCTCCCCTGGCCACACTTCTCCCATGTTTTGTTTTTTTTTAAGATTTACATTTTCTATGGCTTTGTTCAGAGCAAAGATGGATGTTGCTATGTTTATAAGGGGTTACAACCCTTCAAAAAGTATCCGATTTCACTACAACTTCACTGCACTTTACCACTAGAGCGAGAGATGGAAGGTGGTGGAGAGAAAAAGAAGGAACCAAATTCATGATGGGGTCATAAAATTCAAATAAGAAAAGTGCAATATTCCTCATTATTGTCAGGCTCAGACAGCTCAGGTCAATAAGTGGTCTTAGTACTAAATGATTTTATAGGGCAATTTGACCTTACAAGTGTTTGTGTTACACTTGTGATTTCTAAAGGGAGACAAAAATGCTCAAAGCATCCTCTAAATGTTGTACCCATCAAGTACTAGCAGAGCGTTGAGGGGCTGAGAACTTTAAAAACTAATTTGACTACTGAAGTTTCACAATAGCCAAAAGTTGCTTTATAGCTTTTTGGAAACCACGTGCTAACCTAGCATCTTAAAAGGTAACGAACCTGAAATAAACTGCAATGCTAATAAAAACCGTGGAAATCCAATAGGAACCTTGCGTACACGCATCCTCACGCCCACATATTTCATATACATGCGTTTCTTTTCACACACGCTCAAAACACACAGGTATCTTTGTTTCCAACATCCAAGTTATATTAGAAATGCACAGCAAGTGCTCTCTTTCTTACTTGGACACTGATTTATAAATAAAGCAGCAAATTTAGATACTGCCATAACCCCGTGAAAACATGTATGTAACTTTTTGTAAAAGATATACTTTTATAATAGTTGCCGATTTTTGATAATTCCCCAAACGTAGATCAATATCTATAATCTCATAACACACAATAATGTGTGTGTTTATACATACATATGTGCGTATAGCTGTATATGCACAAACCAACACATATCTATTTAAATATACATTCACATGTTACTGTACACATGCGCACCACAGCTGGCTGCCCTGCAATCTTGTGAAATGTAAAAGGGATGCTACAACTACAGGCACAGCAAGCTACCCACCTGCAATGACAGCTGGAGATCTCTGTCCTCCTTCAGCTTTCAGCCACACTTGCAAAGTGAAGGCATCTCTAGGCAGCTCGGTATCTGCTTTCAGCCGCAGCTGATCCCCTTGTCCACTGAAATAGAGTGCCCTGCTTGGGGTAAGGGAATCCTCTTCGCCCTTTGCCTCCCGCTGTTGCCTCCTGCGAGGGACATGCAGAGGCTCTATACCAGCAGTGGAGCGCCTTCCTCGGGCTAACCTGGTGGCACAGGTGCCCGGGGCAGTGTAGTGGATCTGGCGGGTGTGCCTGGTGTCCCTTCTTGCCCTGCGGGAGCGCTCGTCCATCCCACATTCGGGTCCACTGGCTAGGGCTATACAGAGAAGCGCAAGAGGCAGCAGCAAACTCCAGAGCTGCATTTCCAATCTTCCCCCCCCTTCTCCCCTGCAAATCCTCCCGATCTGCCAGCTTTGGGCTCCTCCTTGCCTTGACTTTCTTCTCTTGTTCACCCTTCTTGGTATTTGCTCTTTTTATAACCCTTCTCAGTTGCTTTTTCTTTTCTTTTTTTCTTTCTTTCTTTCTTTTTTCCTGCTTATAGATTTTTTTTCCTTTTTAAAAAACACAATAAAATAAAATCAAAACTCCTTGGTTGCAATGTATTTCTCTGTTCTTCCTCCTGTATTTGTCTTCTTCTCTTCTATTCCTCCACAGCTGGAAATCCTCTCTCTCTTCTTTTCTCTGCTGGATTTTCTTCCCTTTATTTTTTTTTTTTTCTTCTTAAAAAAAAAAAAAAAGACACAGCTTTCTCCAAGACTCAGACCCACTGATTTCCCTCCCCCCCAAAAGATGTTCTAATCTATTTATTTTTTTGGCCTCCTTTATAACATAAGCCACAGCCCCCTCCTTCCCCCCAAACTCCCCCCTCCCTTCTCCACAAAATGAAAGAAAAGAGAAAAAGCCCCTCAGAAGAAGAGTAAACAAGGATATATGCTAATCTACTCTAGGGTGCTCCACCTTCCCAATTGAATGATTCCCATTAAAACTGCAGGGATCATGACTAATCAATCAGCTTGAAGGGGCAGATAGCTCTAGAGACTCAAGCACTTTTGCTGTTTTCTTTTTTCTCCCCCTTTTCTTCCCTTCTTTTCCTCCTGTCCCTTTCCCCCTTATATTTTTTTTTTTTTCAAGAGGGCAGTTAATATGAAGGGTTCAATGGGATAAAAATCCTGCACCCCTTTTTGCAACCTCCCCAGCTTTCCTTCTCAGTCCAGTCCAAAACACACATTCCTATTTTTTTCTTGGCAAAAGAGAAAGCTATTTCTCCTCTCAGACTCCCCGTTGCACTTTGCTGGTAAACCTCATGCTCCTCTGCAGCACATAAAGAGTCTTGAAACTTGATTCTCAGATATTTTTTTAATTGCTTTCTTTCTTTCTCTTTTCACTCCCTCTCTATCTCCCTCTCTTTACTCTCTCTCTCTAATTCTTTCTTTTCCTCTTATTATTTTCTTAAAGTTATGCAATCAGCCAGGCTCCCCCTGTTGTGGTCCCCCTCAGTGCAGTTGTGTGCAGCTAATCCAAATGTTGCATCAAAGGTCCCCATCGAATCATCAGGAGCAAAAAGGAGAGAAGCTTTTTGAAGAGCATTTGCCTTCCAGAAGCTGTAGCAACAGAGCAGGGTTTGGCTTTTGAATGCTCCCAAAGACTGTAGGCTATTTCTTTTAATAATAAAAAAAATTAAGTTTATTTGTGGATTGAGTAAAAAAAAAATCCTCTCTCAATTTGGTTAATTTTTCAGTCTAAGGAATTCAGCTCCCCTTGTTTCCTTGGCTTAGTTGTAGCCACAGGTAAGATTCTGGCTGCTTGCTGGTTTCTCGATCTCTGTTTCTGAGCTGGGACGTTTTGTGTGTGTGTGTGTGTGTATGTATGTGTGTGTGTGTGTGTGTGTGTGCGTGTTTAATATATATATATATATATATATATATATATATATATATATATTTCACTCTTGAAAGATCTCAAAAGCTCCCCCTGATGGCAACAAAAAGGATTTTTCTAAGTACTTAATAAGTGGAAATGACTTAGCAGTCATGCATTATGAATCTACTGACCACTATTTCGTTCAAAGGAGGAAAAAGGAAACAAAAAAAAAACAAACCCCAGTACGATGTTGAATTTAATCACTGCCTCAAGAAAACCTGTCCCAGCCACACCCCCAAAAACTACAAGTATTCTCACCTGACTTTTCTGCAAGCATTTCATGGCAGAGCCACTGGAGTGAGATTTCCAGTCCCTCTAACTCTGCTGCTTTTACAGGTTAGCCTACTAATATAACATGTTAACCAAGAAACATATAAATTAAAAACATTCTTGATACAGTTAGCTAAATAAATTCTTTCAGTTAGAAAGCTGGAAGGGTTGGGAACAAGGGGTTCTTTCCATTTTGTTAAAAACATTTATGAGGTATTTGTGCAATGTTTTCTCCCTGGCTTGCCAATTAGTACATATTCAAGCGTTCATAATGAGCACCTGAAATTTAGAGATGGCAGACCCCCAAGAGATCCCACCAAAGTCAAGAAGAGTGACAGATGCTCAGCACCTTTCTAATTAGGCCAAAGCCCCCCTCCGCACACATAAGCTCTAATTATGATGACGATGTAAAATACCAGCAAGACTCGAACATTTTTCATGAAAGAGCCTCACAGTGCATCATGGACATCTGTAATTAAGCATCACAATGTTTCCTAATGGCAGGTAGAAATTAATGAGTCCAGAATAAAACAAAATACTAATCTAATCATACATGGGTGTTATAACCTAAGGAATGGTGGGGAGAGAGACGAAGAATGCATTTAAATATGTGCCCATTTTAGAGAGATATAAGAGCTGAATCTGCACACCTCATTAGGCTGCTATTACACATAATCTGGATTGAAGGAGCAACTAAAGTAGAGGCCCCAAAGGAGACTGGGTTTCCATTATGCTCGATGCTGTGCAAGCAGAGAAGGAGAAACAGCTCCCAAAGAGTTTACAGTCCATAGCAAACAATTCAGACACCAAGGGTATAAAGGAGAAAACAGAGTCTTAAGGAAAAGAAATGAACTTGCTTAAGATCAAGTAACAGGAACAATTGTCCCAGGAAGTCTCTTGTATTCCAGTCCAGTGCTTTATTAATTGGAAAACTTCCACTGAAGTGAACAGAAATGTTGCCCAAGTATGGTTTAAAGAGAACTGAACTGAAGCGGTTGAAAATTTTCAAACTGGGCAGTTTTCTGGTGGAAAATGTTAATTCAATGAAATCTAAATGTTACATAGGAACACGTTGATTTTGTTGTAATTTTCAATGAGAATATTTGAAACATCTCATTCTGAGGTCAAAGTGCTTTGTTTTGACTACGTGATATAGTATATCTCATAAAAATAGAAATATTAAAGGCAAAACAAAGCACTTCAGCTTTCCTGAAAAAAAAAGCTTGGATTAAGGTTACATGGTATTTCTGAAATAGGTGTTTATAGAAGTTACACTTCAACTGTTCCCATTTGGGACAAAAGGAAATTTTGAAACGTGGGAATTCCCTGCAAAATAGAACTCCCATTTTCAGTCAGTTTTACTACTGAGACTTGGAGAAAAATGTAAGTACAGAAAGAAATATAGCAAATGCATCTGTTTTGGAAAATAACATTTTGGTAAAAGTAAATGCTTTGGAACTGATGAAACACAATGCTTTGTAGACTGACATTTATTCCCTGCATAAGCCAGTATTTGAGTAGTGTGCAGACCTTCTGGGAGGACTGTGTCTCATTCTGATCCCAAACAGAGAAGTAAAGGGTAGTAAAATAATGTCCTTTATTAAAAGCTATTTTTGCAAGTGAAAAAGGAGTGTATTTTAGAAACAGGCACTAAAATGGATATTTGTGATAGGCCAATAAGTTATATTGAACTATCTGCATTTATTATAACCTAAAAATATTTAGTGACAATCTCAACTAAAACTTCCAGTAATTCCTAAATTCAATAGGAGTGAATAAATCAATTTCATAGATTCATAGAAGTAGGGTTGGAAGGGACCTAAGTAGATCATCAAGTCCGACCCCCTGCCATGGCAGGAGAGAATACTGGGCTCATATGACCCCAGCTAGGTAATCGTCAGGCCTCCTCTTAAAGACCCCCAAGGTTGGAGCCAGCACCTCTTCCCTTGGAAGTTGGTTCCAGATCCTAGCCGCCCTAACTGTGAAGTAGCACCTTCTAATGTCCAGCCTGAACCTACTCTAAAACAACTTATGGCCCTTATTCCTTGTTACTCCGGGAGGTGCACGGGTGAACAGGGTCTCTCCCATTCCCCGCTGGTCCCTCCTGGTAAGTTTGTAGATGGCCACTGTCAAGATTTGACTTTTTTTTTTTCTGTTTGTAAGCAAACTGCAGAAACCTGCCAATGTTTCACTCTTTATGGGAGGGTCTACACATGCATTAATGCACTTTTACTAATGCACATTTAAAGTAGTACCTCTGGGTGCCTGTACAGAGTGCAGAGGCTGCTCTGTTGCATTGTAATTATGAGTCGGAGCAGACTTGATAATCAAGTCTGCTGGAGCATGGTAATGATCACACTCCAGCAGCCTCCCACGTTTTGTATATCAGTGTCTCTGTGCTTCAAAATGGCGGTGGAAGTACTTCAACTAAAGCTTGTCAAATGAGGTTTAGTTCAAGCACCCCCACTGCCACTTTGAAGTGTGGGGACGCTGAAACATGAAATGCCATGGTACTTTAATTAGAGTGGCTCTGGGAGCCGCTCTAATTAAAGCGCCGCTTCCCCAGCATATGTAAAAGTGCAAAAGTTTTTGAGCCTTTGTTTTAAAAACTTCATTCTTGCAAGCATTCAGCTTAGTTAAAATCCATCATATGAATTCTGAAGAAGAGCATACTTCAGAATACTATTGAGCATGACACTATAGAAATTCAATTTAAAATATGAATGATTAAACATATATATGTACACGTTTCTTCCCACTTGGAAGTCACCCTTAACTTGCATCAGTGTCTTACATGAGTTCCATCCCAAACTTTCCCCCAAGTTCCTTGGAAATGTGGTTTAGATCAAGGCTATTCAACTAATGGCCTGAGGACCTCACAAGGCCTCCAGGGGGTTCATCTGTGGCTCCTGGGCTTCCACTTAGTCTCTGTTCCCCACGTTGCTACAACTGCAGCAACAGCAACTGAGATCTCCAAGATCTTTCTCCCTTCTCCAGCTTGCTACCTGCCCCTGCCCCAGGAGGCAGTGCAGTGTGGTACGGTGTAGACCACAACCTGGGGCCTCTGCATGGCATGGTATATTTAGGGGACCCTGAGGATAAGGAGCTGAGGGTGAGGCTTGGGTGCCCATGTGACATGCGACCCAGGGGGCCTGGACTTATACTAGTCAAGCCCATGCAGCATGTGACCCTCAGTGGTGTGGCCTGAGAGGCGCATGTCATAGTTTCATAGTAGCTAGGGTCAGGAGGGACCTGAACAGATCATCTAGCCCGACCCCCTGCCACAGGCAGGAATGAATGCTGGGTTCACAAGACCCCAGACAGGTGATCATCTAACCTCGTTTTGAATTTACCCAAGGTAGGGGCGAGGACCACTTCCCTGGGAAGTTGGTTCCAGATTCTGGCCACCCTAACCGTAAAATATTGCCTCCTGATTTCTAACTTAAACCTATTCTCCATCAGCTTATGACCATTGTTTCTCGTCACCCCAGGCGGTGCTGGGGAGAATAGGGCTCTTCCCATTTGCTGATGATCTCCCCTGATGAGTTTGTAGGCAGCCACCAGGTCCCCCCTCAGTCTCCTCTTGCCGAGGCTGAACAGGTTCAGGTCCCTCAGT